GGTTTAATTTAGATGTTTGTGATGTCCAAATACAAAGTTATAGTTTCTTATGAATTGGAAAGTTAAATTACCAATATTTACAAGCTAAAATAAGAACCTTCTATCTATTTTATATGGTGAGATATCGTTACATTTACTGAATCAAACACAGAGGCCTCCAAGCTTCAGGGTAAGACTTTAGTGAGCTCATATTTTTTTAAGACCCAAATACAGCTTATTTACCAAGTTTGATAAATTATAGTTGAATTCTATGGTACTGATATAGTAATTTAAGATTTTGGGTTATTTCAAATGTATATATCCTAAAAATATATTTTGTTACACATCCTCCGTGCACAAAGGTTGTAACTAGAAGATATAATTGTTTGCTTTACTTCTTTATTTACTGGTCTATAATTGAGAAATATAACTTTAAGAACTTATTTGTAAATATTAATAATCTATATACATATATAATGTATCATAACTTAACTGTGATTGTATTTTACAAAATACTAGTCTACTAAAACACAGCCAAGACAGGTTAGTTTGTAAAGACCAGTTATACATTCTTGAATATGGTAACATGAGCCACGTCACTGTAACTTCTGTAATGTTAGCTAGGAATGGTTAAAGTTCAATATAATAAAAATAACAAGTATATATATAAATGTTTAATGTTATGAGATTTAAGCTATTTAGACTAAACATGTTTTTGTGTTATAATCTGTTGTCATTCTAGAACAAAAAAAAACAATTTATATATATTTCCTAACTTTTTATGGTGGATACGAGTGAAATGGACCCAACCCATATAGAGATACAGTAGTGAAAATAACAGATAAAATATGTTTGTTTTTTAAAAAAAAACATTTGATAATTATCTGGAGGTTATAAATATTTTGCACGTGAAATTCGAAAATGTTCTGATACATAAAAATATTTTTAATCTTAAAATGAAAATTACTTTGCATGTTGGAGAGTCAATATTCGAAAAGAAAAAAGTCATGATAAAAATATTACTTAAGAAATCTTAAAACTTAATAAAGAAATTGATATTTTGTGTACGAAAGGCTTGTACTGTTTACAAAAAATTTTTTAAATATACATGTACATTATCAAAAATTACAGTGATTACTGTCATGGCTACGAGCTGGGTGGTATCCACCCACCCCATATTGGGAGGGTTAAATTTATCCTTTTAGAACATATTTCCAGTCTCTGTTTGCAATGGGAACATCAAATGTATCTACCTGCCAAAAAAAACACAACTTTAAAAGTCCAACCCCTTGACCAAAGCATCAGATTGACCTTCAAATGTAAGTAGAGAAGAGAACTAATCAACAGAATGGTGGACAGTAAGGACAATTTGCCTGAACAAGGAATGCACATGTGCAGTCATGCTTCACAAAGAGTGACAATCAACGGTCTCACCTCTTGATATGGCTAGGCCTCAATGTATTTTAATGTAATTAGTGAGGATGTATTAGTTTTGAATTGGCTGGTATGGTTAATGTCTATTGAAAATAAGCCAAATTTCTACAAAAGTAAACCTTGAATCTTACATTATTTTTATATAGTAAAAACTGATGGATAAAACTTGTTTGCTTTTAAAACACAACACAATAAATATTTTTCTTTAAAAAGTTCCACAACTTAAAAAACAAGATAATTGTTTTAAAATTACAGACTCGTTTGGAAAATTGAGCCAATTTGTTAATTTATCCAAGAGAGATTTTTCTTCAGAAAAACCATGTTATATCTATTACTTAAGAAGAGTCAGGCATTGGCCATACAAGGGTGAATTTTCAAAGCTCACCATCAGGACCCTCACCCCACTTATGGATCCAACAATCCTTCTCCAAGAAGTATTAGCTTGAAATTTGAATAAAAACCTTTAAATCTACACTAAGTAAAGTAAACAGTTCAAACTCCTTAAACTCACCAAAACATTAAAAACTAACAATGAAAATAAAAATCAAACTGTAATAAGGCGTTTCACAAGGGCCACCTGTCACAAATGAAGAAAAATAACCGTTAATAAAGTTTTCTTATAACAGATCACCTGACTGAGAATTTTTCAGTGTTCTTGAACTACACAAATATGACTAACAGCTTCAAACATTAATAAAAGATAAGACTGTTAACTACTTAATCTAGCTCTTCTGTACTTCTGGGTACTGCTCACCAAGAAATGGGGGTTGAAATACTTGTTTCTTACTTACATAACACCATACATTGACGTTTAAAGAGCCATCTTTTACAAAGTTAAAATGTACTTAGAAACCTGAGTGTGTATATTACACGTTATCAGATTCAGTGACAAATCATCACCAGTTAAAAACTACAATGTAAAGAAAGAAAGTTTTAGTTCCTCTTGACTACAGCGTGCAATACCTGCTTCTGACACACTTTCCACAGCGTGATCCACCATAAGTTCTTGTTACAGTCTTGTGCCTCTTGGAAAGAGCCGATAACTCCCTCGGTCTTGCTGGAGTGATCTAAGAAATTAAAACACCTCTTCAGAATGTCAAATAATTCATACACTTTCATATCCACGAGTTATCAATGCTCGTTTCATATCTACTTCTGAGTGATAAGTTTTTACATAACACTAATCATAAAATCCATGAATCCAACATCTGTAAAAGTCAATCACTATACTATGCCTTTTGTATTTCTTTGGTCTGCTCTCCCACACAGCACCTAGGAGCCGGGATTTGGTGACATTAATAGTCTGCTACAGAGGAAGTAACAAACCAAACCCGTGATTTGGTGACACTAATAGTCTGCTACAGAGGAAGTAACAAACCAAACCCGTGATTTGGTGACACTAATAGTCTGCTACAGAGGAAGTAACAAACCAAACCCGTGATTTGGTGACACTAATAGTCTGCTACAGAGGAAGTAACAAACCAAACAGATTAAGCTCATTCATATATTTTTTTCTTTTGTGGAACTACAAGTTTTGGTGAGGAAAGGAAATATTCACAGATAAAAATACAAACTACTACAACTCATATTTCAAATTATTAGAATTACAATGTACATATATGTATTTAGTGTTACTGAAAGATTTATCTTATCTACATTCTTATATCACCACATCCTGTTATTTTCTTATTTAAATTATTCACATGTATTTTATCTATTCACAAGCAAAAACACCCGTCCCCAGTGATGGGAAAAGTTTAAGTTCATCTATCAATTCAAATTATTTCATGGACATTAAAAAGGTTAATTGTGTTGAACTCTTGGTTTCACTCAGAGCCATAGCTCTGATCTACTTATACTGCCCACCACAAAAAAGTAATTGTTGAGGGTTTCAGTCATGCTAAGAGGCATTCAACAATAATATACAGTAAATCTACAGTTTTATTCTTTAAATTGTCACATTTTTAAACGTGAACGATAGTGTGATTAATTCCTAACAATTTAGTGTAGAATATCCTACTCGCGAAATAAAATTTGGTATCAACATTAGTCATGTCCGTTCTCCCGCCCTTTCAAAAGTGAAACAGATAAGCACTCAGACAGACACCACAGTTTGCAACATATAAAGTTTTATAGTTTCTGTACAGACAGACACCACAGTTTGCAACATATAAAGTTTTATAGTTTCTGTACAGACAGAACATGAAGAAAGTTCATGGCCAATTATTTCATTGGAAAATGTTTATCATTAAATCTTTAAATGTATCCAACTAATATTAGCCTGTCTAATGTGATTATTTAGTTCAATATAATTGATTAACGAGACCAACAAGTCATTCACTGAATGTAATTGATTAACGAGACCAACAAGTCATTCATTGAATGTAACTGATTAATGAGACCAACAAGTCATCCATTGAATGTAACTGATTAACGAGACCAACAAGTCATCCATTCAATGTAACTGATTAACGAGACCAACAAGTCATTCACTCAATGTAACTGATTAACGAGACCAACAAGTCATTCACTCAATGTAACTGATTAACGAGACCAACAAGTCATTCACTCAATGTAACTGATTAACGAGACCAACAAGTCATTCACTCAATGTAACTGATTAACGAGACCAACGAAGT